AACAACTAAAAAGTAAGGGGACTGGACTGTGTCTCAAGGGAGCATAAGTGAAATAAGTGGCCAAAGGATGGAGGGATGGGCAAAATGCTGTGGTCAGGTTTGGGGCAGTAGGGTGGGCCCTGAGAGAGGGGCTGCCTTGGCTCCTCATCTTAGGCGCTGCCAGGACTGGAGAGGAGGGGATGGGACTGATTTGGGCCTGTAAAGCATCATTGGCTATTAACCCCTTGAATCCCAGTGGCCTACTTTTTGGGTCCCGTCCCTGTCTTACCAGCTAGGAGCGGGGGAGATGGATTTTTCGAGGAAACTCTGGGTACCAGTCTGTGCCTAAGCGTGCCTCTGAACAGGCTGTTCTTGTTTACGACCCCCATTCCAGGGGAACACGATTGCTCATCCTTGCATGTGATTGAGAAGGCCAGTCTTTCAGGCTGGAGGAAACTCAAGCCCCGCCAGCCGCTTGGCATCGGAATGTTCAGCTGGTCCTCTGCTGGGGCTCATGTGACCAAGATTCAGCTATAAATATCAGAGGGGCCTCTGACCAAGACAGAATTCGGGCTCCAGGAGAAGAAGGAAAAGAGGATCCAACCGGGTGTTTTGTGACAAAGGCCAGACTCCCAGGTTTGCTTTAGAGTGAGGCAGCCAAGTGGGTCCCACACTGGTCCACAATATGGATTATAAGTCAGGCCTGATTCAGGATGGGAACCCCATGGAGAACTTGGAGAAGCAGCTGATCTGCCCCATCTGCCTGGAGATGTTTACCAAGCCAGTGGTCATCTTGCCATGCCAGCACAACCTCTGCCGAAAGTGTGCCAATGACATCTTCCAGGTCAGTGCTGGGCACGGGCTTGCCCCGGGGCCCCGGGGCCCTGGGTGGCCACTCAGCTTCCCCGAGATGAAAGCCTTTCTCTCTTAGCCTTCCAGTGGAGACTGGCTCTTTCCCCTCCGAAGTGAACCCCTGAAGAGGCCTCTGGACTGGGCTGAAGGGGTGTGGGAGGCAGCTCTGCCTACCCCACAGGTTTCCTCTCCCGCCCTGCCCACAGCTCCCCCCACCCTGGCCCTCAGAACCACTGTTGACTTTGCAATCAAGAGTCAAATGCCTCAAGTGATAAGTGGAACGGAGGGGAGGGCTGGGGGGGCCACAGGGGAGAGGAGAGAGAAACCAGACCCTTGTGGCAGGAGCCAGCTCCTGGTGGCAGGGGTCCCAGAGCTTTGGGAGAAGGGTGGCAGAGAGTCACTGGGCAGTAGAGGCATCTTCCTTTGTGAGACTGTTCCCTATAGTATGGGGGCAGGAGGGGCTCCCTGCCCCTAAGAAAGGAATGGGAGTAGATATGCTAGCTGGGAGATGGGACTCAGGGTTCCCCAGGGGCACTTTACACAATGTTCTTTCATTATTTAATCTTTTTTTTTTTTTAAACGAATCTCACTCTGTCTCCCTGGATAGAGTACCATGGTGTTATAGTTCAGAGTAACCTCTAATTCTTGGGCTTAAGCAATTCTCTTGCCTCAACCTCCCGGGTAGTGGGGACTATAGGCACCGCCACAATGCCCAGCTAGTTTTTTTCCATTTTTAGTAGACATGAGATCTTGCTCTTGCTCAGGCTAGTCTTGAACTCCTGAGCTCAAGTAATCCACCCACCTGGGCCTTCCAGAATGTTAGGATTATAGGCATGAGCCACTGTGCCCAGTCTTAATCTTTATTTTATTTATTTATTTTATTTTATTTTATTTTTTGAGACAGAGTCTCACTTTGCCGCCCTCGGTAGAGTGCTGTGGTGTCATAGCTCACAGCGACCTCCAACTCTTGGGCTTAAGTTATTCTCTTGCCTCAGCCTCCCAAGTAGCTGGGTCTACAGGAGCCTGCCACAATGCCTGGCTATTTTTTGGTTGGAGTTGTTATTGCTGTTTTTGCAGGTACAGGCTAGCTGGAACCCACCAGCCATAGTGTATGCAGCTGGCACCAAACCACCCT